CAGAGACTGAAAACACAAAACAATTAATACACCAGGAAAGGGAACAATTTTTCTGAACTTAAAAAAAAATGTGAAACTACAAAATGTAAGGTACACACCACATACATAAATCAACTCAGGATGACCAACACTAAGACATAGCCTAGTAAAATTACTAAATTTAATAGTAAAATAAAATACTCTTTGAGCACCCTGAACAAAAAAATGATATTTTATAAGGAAAACAAAATCAGATTGCCATCACTTTGAAAGCAATGCTTTATGCCAGAAAAAAAAAAGGAACATTTGAGGCTCAAGGAAAGGAAACGTAAACCGAAGATTTTATACTCAGTTACATTTCAAGTATAAAGACTTAAAGAGCTATCAACGTGGAAAAAGGGAATGAGAATCTACTAGAAAATAAGCCTCAGATCTCCAAAATGAATAACGTAAGAACTGATAATGAGCAGTAAATACATATTTATTTCTAGAACCTGAGACTCAACAAAGGCTATAAAAGAGAGAATAGAATTCATAATGGGTATATGTTCTGTTAATGTAGATATAGTACAACTGTAAAAAGAATCGGAGAACATACGCAAACAAAGTAACTTTCCAGTAATCACATTGTGGTGATACTTGGTTTTGTTAACTAAGGCTATTGTGTGCACAAATGTGAAATCATGCAAATGAGTATTATGTGATGTTTTAATTCTATCATCCTCTTGCATCCTTACAAATCAGGATTCAGGGCCGGCCGAGTGGCGCGTTGGTTAGGAACTGGCTTTGGATGCCAGAGGGCCCCGGTTCGGATCCCACATATGAGGACCAGTGACACTGCCCTCTACAGCTAAGATGCTGAACAACAGCTNAAAAAAAAAAAAAAAAAAAGATTTTTGTTAATTCAAAAGCACGGACGGTCTTTGATATGCTAATGTATGTTGTGAATCCCCAAGAGGATGATAACTGATGCAATTTCTTGAACTGAATAAACAAGGGAATCCTTTTCAGTAGGAACATCAGGAAGGTAAGCAAAGGAGCTCAAGTTCCAAAAAGCACTAGTTTGGGGGCCGAAAAACTCATCTCGATTCAGGGTAAGTGGCACTAGAACTACTCTAACCTGCCATCCAGCATAAATTTAATGTGGCTGCCATTATACTTCATGCAAATAAAGAAGCACAGTTGCCCTAGAATACTGAGGCAGGAATATAAGGTTGGCCACATTCATTAAACAAATATTTTTACCAAGTACCTACTATATGCCAGTTTCTAAGAAACTGATTTAGCAGTGAACAGGAAAAAAATCATCGCTCCTCTTATGAAACTAACATTTCAGTGGCAGGACACAGACAACAATTAAAACATAAACTATGTTTGATGGTGATAAGTGTAAGAGAGGAAAAATTAAGCAGGAAAGGAAGGGGAGCAGTGTTGCAAGGCAGTTAAGAGAAACCTCACTGACAGGGTGTCTTTGGAGCAGTGGTCTGAAGGCAGTGAGGGAACAAGCCATGTAAATGTTTGGGGAAGAACATTCCAGGCCAACCAGCACCAAGGCCCTGATGTGGGAGCCTTCGACAAGCTGAAGAAAGCAAGGCGGCCAAAGTAACTGGAGAAGAATAAGTGAGTGGAAAAGTAACAGCAGACAGAGCAGCAAAGCAGCAAGGAGCCAACACAATGAGCTTGACAGGTGACATAAAGCTGACTCCAGGTCTTTTGCCTGAGCAACTAGAAAAAGGAAGTTGCAGCTTCCTAAGATGGAGAAAACTGCAGGAGGGGCTAGTGCTTTGGGGTGTCTGAAGTTTGAAATGCTTATTAAACATCCAAGTTCAGATGTTCAACGGGCAGTTGATATACAAGTCTTGAGCTCAGGAGAGTGGTCTAAGTTGGAAAACAAATGAGTCACCAATACAGAAATGCTCTTCATTTAAAGCTCATGGAGCTGGAAGAGATCATATCCTCCCCCCGGGAATGAGTGTAGACAGAAAAGACAAAATCCCAGAACTGAGCCCTCAGGCATTCTCAAACTAGAAGTTGAAGAAAAAAAGAGGGACAAAGGAAACCAAGAATCCATCAACCAGCAGGGAAGCAGCAGTATCGGGAAGGGGCTGCAGCTGAAATACTTGAGACTAAAGAAGGGGCTTTTCAAAGAAGGAACACAAGTCCTAAAAATGGCTAAAACAGGCAAATGGAGAGCTCTGTGCTCCTGAAGGAATAGCCAAGGATCCTGAATTAGTAAGAAGGCATGGTCAGACTTTTTAAATAAGCATTTAGTGTACATAATACCAAATGAGGATAGCATCTCAATAATATTGTACAATTCAAATGAGGAAAGTGGGGAGAGAAGCTCGAGAACTCACTCCAACACTATGCACTGCTCCCTACGCCGGGCACTAGGGACACAATAAGGGCTGTCCCCGCGTCAAGAAGCACATCTTTACTCTGGCAGGAAGAAAGGCGGTTTCAGTGCAGCGTGGAAAGTATTATGGAAGGATTAACAGAGGGGACCACAAACAGACAGTTCCTGCCCTAAACTCAGCTTTGGAAAATCAAAGCGAAGGAAGCATCACATACAAGGATCAGGAGGCAAAAGGCAGAACTGCAGCCAAAGCGCGGCTTCTAAGGACATCGAGGGGGTGAAGGTAAATGTTACATACGGACCAGACTGTATGGAGGGTCTCGTATGCCATTCTCACACCTTTGGCACTTTATTCTAAAGGCGCCAGGGAGACATTAAGGAAATTTAAATGGAAGGTCACAGGATCTGGTTAGCAGGATAGGCCACTCAAGCCTCATGTGAACAATGACATGCGAAGGGAGAAGACTGGGCAGAGAAGATTCATCGCTAGAATGAGAATCCAGACAAGACACGAAAATGACCTGCACTAGTAATCATAAGGCAGTGGCGGCAAAGAAGGAGAGAAATGACCAGATCTGAGAAGTCACGCAGGTAACGCCACAGGACTACATGAGGTGCAAGGGATACTAGTGAGGAATACTGGAGAAGGACGTCCCAGTGTCTGCCCTTCCCAGAGGGCTGTCGTTCATTCAGCTCACCCTCTCGATTACCAGAGGATCCGGAAATGGAAGAGGACGGCCTGAACTGCCGACGTGCCTGTGGGACTTCCTNCAAAATAAAAACGTAGCGGGAGGGGAACACACAAAAGACTGAGGAGGCACTCCACAAAGGAACAGGTAAGACTGGCCAAAAAGCACAGTGAAAAAGGGCTGAGTCAGTCATCAGGTAAACTATAAACTAAAACTATGAGACACTACTACACTCCCAATGTCATGGCTAAACAACCAACCAACCAACCAAGCAACCCGACAACCCCAAGTGTAGAAGAGGAAGTGGAGCACCCTAACTCTCAGGCGGTGCTGGTGCAAGCGTCAGGTGGCACGAGCACTTTGGAAATCTGCCTTGGACTTCCGTACAAGTTTAAATATACACTTTCTCCACAATTCTACTTCTAGGTTATTTACCCACAAGAAATAAAAACCGATATCCACAAAAACATTTGTACAAGAATGATTATAGAAGCTTTATTCATAATAGACACACTGTGGAAACAATCCAAATGTCTATCAATAGGAAATGGAAAGCCAACAATAGTATACCCATAGATACAACACTGCCAAGCAATAAGGCTGAACAAGTAACTGATACACCAACAATACGGATGAACCTTTAAAACATCATGCTGAGCATAAGCAGTCAAAGACGAAACAGTACATACTGTACACCATTTATATGATGCTCTAGAACAGGAACAACGAATGCACAGCAAGAAAAAAAAAAGAAAAAAGAACACACACACACACAAAACAAAAACAAAAACAAAAACACCTCAGACAAATGGTTGCTGCCAAGGATGCGGGAAGTGAGGGTATGACCAGAAAAGGACACAAGGAATCTTCTTGGGGTGATGTAATTGTGCTATATTTTAATAGGGGTGGCAGTTACACGGGTGCATGCACTTGTCAAAAGTATTCAAATTGTTTATTTAATACCTACGTGTTTCCTTGTACAAAACTATGCCTGAATAAAAAAATGTTACAAACAATTACTAGAACAATTCGGGTCCAAGAGTTAACTCATAAGGAATCAAATATATTCCTTTTTGAAAAGAGAGTAAAATAAAACAAACCAAAACAAAAAACCGTGGGGTAATTCTAATTCCAAAGCTCTGTAGCCTTTAGAAAAAAAAGGGGGTGTGGGAGACGAATGTGGTTATTTACCCAAAAAACAATTTTTTCCTCTTCTATTAACATTAAATGTTACCTCTTCTATTTAACACAAACATGTTCTACACATGTATTAAAGAACTTTGAGAAGGGAGTTAAAAATGTTAATAAGCAAAAAAAGTATAATATATTGATTTAAAAAAAGTAGTTAAAATATCTTTTAGTGCACCAATATATAAACTGACCTGGCTATTCAAATATGCTTATGTCAGATGGAATGTTGTCAACCTTTACTCATTACAAACTAATTTCACCCTTAGTATAGCCAAAAGAAGTTTCAAAGTGATCACAATTAAATAAATAATTTAATTTACTAAAATGGAAGGGGACGGAAAGAAAATTAAAAATACACAACAAAAAAAAACTGACCAAACAAGTTCAGAAACAAATGCAAGATAAAATACAACAAAATTTCATTAAGGAAGTACAGTTTTACAGAATATAAATATGAAAAGCATCTCATCTAACTGTAAATATAGCTGAAATAAAAATGAGGTGAATATTTTTATTCCACATCTGCAAACCTCTACGCTTTCAACACTTTTCCCCCAAATACCACTGCCACTCTAATTCAAAAGACAGGACAGGGACTTTTTGAACTCAAATTACTTAAAACTGTAAAGCTACTTTTGTATCTCATTAAATATTTATGAAACATTAAAAATGTAATACCTTATGGTTTAATTAACTCCAGTTACAAAAAAAGATATTTTACAAAATAAATACAGTACTACACTAAAGCAACAAAAAAGAAAAAATCAGTTCAAATATTTTCTTACCACTTTCACAACACAGGGTGCATCGCTGCCCACCGATTTTGAAGAATTCTTATCAGCTGTTTGAAAAAGTGACATTTGTAATGTCAGAGCAAGAAGTAGCATCATCATAAATAGCCTGTTACTAACCCTTTATTAATATTTAAGTCTGTATATCCATAACCCCTTAGAATAAATTTCAGTTCCCAAATATGTACTTCATTCAGGATATCATTTGATGTATT